TGAGAGCCCTGTGGGCCTGGAGCCCAGGAGTTGCACATAGTAGCTTTGTAGCTCCTACTTCCCTTAGGACTGGAGGGCCATCTTGTTGGACCTGTGGCAGGAGTCAACACGAGTTTGTTCTTTCTTTCTTTACACACACACACACACACACACACACAAAAAAAAAACAGATTCTAATCAGCAGAGCAGAATATTCAAAAGAATATCCCCTGATCTTTTAGAAGAGAGAAATAAATGAGTTCATAATGTGCTAAATAGGCCTGTGGTGTTGATGAAAATGCAGATTCTAGGACCTCATACTCAGACTTCATTGAATCAGAATCTCTGGGGAACGGGACCTGGAATCTGCATGCTTAACAGACACCTTGGGTTATACTTCTGCTTACCAAAATTAGAGACCTACAGTTCTTGACGCTTTCTTAAAAAGTGTTAAATACACATAACATAAAATTGACCATCCTGCTCATTTTTAAGTGCACAGATTGGTGGCATTACGCACATTCACAGTGTGGTGCAGCTACGCTGCCGAACTTTTCATCTGGCAAAACTGAAACTCTGTGCTCATAAAACAACCTTCCATTCCCCCTTTCCTCACCCCTGGCAACCACCATTCTGCTTTGTGTTTCTGCGAGTTTGACTACCCTAGGTATTCATAGAAGTGGATCATACAGTATTTGTCTTTTTGTGACTGGCTTATTTAGTTTAGCATACTGTCCTCAAGGTTCATCATGTTGTAGCACATTTCAGAATTTCCTTCCTTTTCAAGGCTGAATAATACTCCATTGAATATGTGTACCATATTTTGTTTATTCATCCATAGATGGATGCTTGAGTTGCTTCTATCTTTGGGCCATTGTGAATAATGTTGCTCTGAACATGGGTCTACAATTCTCTTTGAGACCTGATTTAAATTCTTTTGTGTAGATACCCAGAAGTGGAATTGCTGAATCATATGGTAATTCTATTTATAATTTTCTGAGGAACCACCACACTGTTTTCCATAAAATAGTGGCTGTACCATTTTACATTCGCACCAGCAGAGTGCCAAAGTTTCCAATGTCTTCACATGCTTGTGAACAGTTATTTTGTTGGTATGTTTGTTTGTTTTTGGTTGTAGCCATCGTAATGAGTATAAGGTGAGATGTGGTTTGGATTTGATTTCCCTAGTGGCAAGTGATATTGAACATCTTTCTGGGTGGTGGTTGGCTATTCGTATATTGTCTTTGGAAAGACTTGTTATTCAAGTCCTTTGCCCATTTTTAAATTAAGGAATTTGTTTTTGTTGTTGAGTTGTAGGAGTTCTTTATAGATTCACATATTAACTCCTCATCAGATATATGATTTGCAAATATTTCCTCCCATTCCATACGTTGCCTTTTCACTCTGTTGACTGCCTTTTGCTGCAAATTCTTGATGCTTTCTACACATTATAACTCTGTAGAAACAATATTATTTGCTATTCCGGTTTTGTAGGGATGGAAACTCAGGCCCAGTTTAGTTTAACTTGCCTAAGGTTATGCAGTAAGTCTCAGAGCTGGGATTCAAGCTCGGGTCCCTTGGACTCCAAAGGGGTGCACCCCTTCCATTCCTCTGCTCTGCCTGCCATTCCCCGCTTGGAGCTAATAGCATAAGGAGGCCCCATGGAGGTGTGAAGGAAGGGGCATTGGTTGGAGAAATGTTCAGTCGCAGGCGGGGAAGCATGAACGGAAGGCCTGGAAATCTCTTCCGTTAGACCACTGGGGTGCCCCTTCCTGTAGCTCAACATCATTGTTTAGATCTTAGAAACAGCAGAGAAGTGCAGACAGGTTTTTTAGTTCAGTTTGATTGTGTTTTGTTTATTTGTTTTCTTAAGCATTTTATAAGCTTGTTTCAGAGCCCATCTGCTCCTCGCAGCTCCCCGAGCAGTCCCTGTGTGTTCACACCACGGTGCCTTTGTTGAGGCTGTGTCTTCTGCTTGCAAGACTTTCACCACTCCACACACCCCCATCTTTCAGGGAGGTCAGTTCTTTGCTCACCTCTCCCTGCCTGACCAGGCAAAAGGAAGAGTCCCCTCCTTTGCAGTCCCTTTCTCTTGGGATATTTCCCACAGCCCGTGAGCTCCATGTCTTATTCATTGCTGTATCACCCAGCACTGTGGAGCTTCTCCTTGGCTGCGCACTCTCCAGTCTCAGTCCCAGCCTGAACCAATTAAATGAGAACCCGAGGATAGGGAATGGGAAAGCTGTGCTTCTACAAGCTCTCCAGGGCATTCTTCCTGCAGCCAGCCTAGACGCCCATTGGCCCCTGACAGGCCCACATCCAGCCTGGCTGCACTGAGTTAGATCTAAATCTGGAATCCCCTGGAAGTGCTGCAGTCCCTTCCCCCCTCCTCTGCAAGTGGCTAACCTCTGGGATCATGGTGTGTGTCCTGCATGGAGGTATCAGTGACCCCAGACCCCGGGCTTTCATTGGAAAGGGTCTGACAGTTCTGCTATTCCCCTGCCCCTTTATGTGCCCCTGCCCCTTTATGTACCCTCCTTAATCCAGTGAAACCTAGCAATTTTGAGAGGATAGGAATTTTGTTTGTTTATCCTTCCCCATTCATTCATAATCCATTTATTGAGCACCCACTGTGAGGCGGGCATTGTGGTGGACATAACACACCTTTGAGTAACTTATGGTCTGCTAGGGAAAGCGTGTTCTAGCCTTCTGAGAGGCAAGGCTGTGTGTATGTGTACGTGTGCATGAGTGCATGTATGCACATATGTGTGCTAAGACTAAGTGCTTGGATGATGTCAGGATTCTGAGTGGTGGCACCTGTCTGGCTGGGCAATTGGAGAAGGTTTGAAGGGAATGGAAGGTGCGACCCTGTTTGGTTTTTTTTGAGACAGACTCTCACTCTGTCACCCAGGCTGGAGTGCAGTGGCTCGATCTTGGCTCACTGCAACCTCTGCCTCCCAGGTTCAAGCAATTTTTCTGCCTCAGCCTCCCAAGTAGCTGGGACTACAGGTACGTGCCACCATGCCTGGCTAAGTTTTGTATTTTTAGTAAAGACAGGATTTCACCATACTGGCCAGGCTGGTCTCGAACTCCTGACCTTGTGATCCATCTACCTCAGACTCCCAAGGTGCTGGGAATACAGGCGTGAGCCACTGCATCTGGCCGTGACCCTGGTTTTATTTATTTACTTATTTATTTATTTTTTTTGAGATGGGGTCTGGCTCTGTTACCCAGGCTGGAGTGCAGTGGCACCATCTCAGCTCACTGCAACCTCCTCCTCCTGGGTTCAAGTGATGCTTGTGCCTCACCCTCTCTAGTAGCTGGGATTACAGGCACTCACAACCACACCCAGCTAATTTTTGTATTTTTAGTAGAGACGGGGTTTCACCATGTTGGCCAGGCTCAAACTCCTGACCTCGTGATCTGCCCATCTTGGCCTCTCAAAGTGCTGGGATTACAGGCGTGAGCCACCATGCCCATGCATGACCCTGGTTTTAAATGGTGGGGTGGGTGTCTGCAGGGGAGGAACCTGGTGCTCTTGGCTGAACTGTCAAGAGGAAGGAGGGGGAGACTGGAGGGCTGATTCTGAGGCTTTTCCCCATGGAAGATTACCTTTAGATTCATTTCATCCATTCATTCATTCTTTTCTCTGTGGAAGATTACCTTTAGGTTCATTTCATCCATCCATTCATTCATTCATTCATTCGTCAAATACCCGATGAGTACCTGCTCTCTTGTACTTAAATTTTGGACTGTAGACCAGCTGTTTTAGTGTCAGCTGGGAGCTTGTTAGAAATGCATGTTCTTAGACCAGCTCAGGCGTACTGAATCAGTATCTCAGGGGGTGGGGTTCAGGAATGTCTGCTTTTCACAACCTCTCCTGGTGATTTTTGCACATGCTAAAGTTGGATAACTCCCACTCCAGAATGTGGACTTTCCATCTCATTATTGTAGCCTCAGTGCTTAGCCAAAGTGGCTCCGTACTCATTTGTGGACTCACTGTTCACACGCCAGGCCCCCGTAGGGACCGGGAATGTGGGAGGATGCTTCAGGGGGAAGATGGCAAGGTCAGCCAAATTTGAAGTATTCCTGAGCCATGTGGGCAAAGACACCAGACAGACACCTCTGAGTCTAAGGAGAAAAGCCTGGCTTGGAGGTATTTTGGAAGTCATTAGCATATGGGTAGAATGACTAGATGACTAAATGTATGAAAAAAAAATTCTCAAGACCCATGTGAAAGTCCGAGAGGGGTGTGGTGGCCTGGCTGGCCTGAAGACAGGTATTCTGATGATTCTGGCCGGGGCCCCCATTTGCCTGGCACTGAGATGATATTAGTGTTTTTACTCTGTGAGCACTGTGCCCCTCAGGGCAAGCTGTGACTCCTATCACCAAACACTCAGGAACCATTGCTTTTGGGACCCTGGGGATGGTTTCATTTGTAGGCATCTGCCTTCTGTTAGGGTCCTTTTTTTTCCTTCTCTACAGGGGACAATATGACACTATCCAGCAAGACCTGATGGGAGTGGACACAGACTACCCTCATTTGCAGTAGTCATGGGCAAGCAGGTGGTACCCACAGTGTACCAGAGAATGCCCTACCCTCGAGTAATGTTCCCTGGTTTGCACAGAGTCAGGCCTGTAAGGGGCAGGGCTTTGGCCAGGACAGTGCTATAGAACTTGATCCTGGATTTATTTTTGGAAAGTGAATCCTGGAACCTACCATTGCACCTTAAGGGTTGCAGGAATCTGAACCCTAGTCCTGCCTCATGTGGTTTATGCAAAATCTATGTTTGGTAATCAAATGGTTAATAGAAATCTAAGCATAGGGCAGATTGAATAGACATGTGCATACACTGGATTCTTCTGTTGCAGGGAAGAGGAAGTGCTCACAATTGTTAGTTCCCTAGCTGGAAAATTATTTGCGATCTAGGAGAGCTTAGAAAAATATTTACCTTAGTTGCCCAACAACTTAGCAGTCCTTCTAGCAGCCAGTGACTTGTTACCACCTGACTATGTCCACCAGCATTTGTCAGAGTGATTTGACTCTGACTGGTCACCAGGTAATCTGTCTAAAGTTCAGAAGGTGTCAGGATGCCACCCTGAAGCTCCACAGTGACAGCCTCTCAAGTCTGTGCACTGTCCCCCACAGGTGACCTCAAAGCCAGCTGCCCATTTAACTGGGCACGGCATGGACACTGGCCCCAGCTCTCAGCCTTCTGAGGAGGTAGGTCTCTGCACCTTTCTGTAAGGAGGTGGTTGGGTTTGTGTGTGGTGTGCATTGGTGAGGCCTGGCCACAGGTTCCCTCCTTGGGGATAGGCAGTCCCTTGCCTGTCCTTCTGACCCTTGCTTGCAATTTGCCAGCAGAAAGGTGTCAGTAATCCTGGGGCACCAGAGGTGGGCATGGATTCTTACAGACCATTGCTGCCGCTGGGAAACAGGCAAAGACCCTCTCTATGAAGGCCAGAGCAGCAGCTTTTACTGGGGGACAACCCATTTCCAGCAGCCACCTGCTCTTGTGGCGTTTCCCATGGCGAATGAAATGTTTATTCTTTTCCCTTCCTCAGCCCTGGAAGCTGGTAGATGTGAGCAGGCAGTTTTTGTCTTTGGTGCCCTTGACTTTGGATTTCAAGCAAGCTGATCGCAAGTTTGCCCTTCTGTAGGGATGTAATTAAGCCACGGTTTTTGTCATTTCAATTACAGTAGCCCAATTTAGCCTGCCCCCCTTTAATACTTTGAAATTACTCTCCTCAAAAGTTGTATGCCAGTCATGCTTTCAGCCTTGACCAGCAGTGCTCGCTGGCGCCGCTTCTGAGCCGGCGTCACCACGGCAGGAGGCCGAGATGGCGGGAGGCTGGAACGTGGGCCCACTGCCCACAGCACCTCCTTTGAAGGCAGCGCCCCCTGCCCCCTGCAGTTGTTGCTCCCTGAAAGCACTTTAAACTCCTCGGCCCACACCCCGCCGCTGGAAGGGCCTCGGTGGAGAGAGGTCTGAGCTTTGTTAGTTGCGTTTTGATTTCAGTACAGGAGTTGATAAAACGAGATAAACCCCAGGCTCAGGAAGGCCGTGGAAATTAAACAGAGATGATATCAAAGTTCCCCTGAGTTTTCAACTGTGATACAGTAGCTCAGTTTTCTCCCAGACTGGGGCCGGGAGGCACGCCTTTGATTCCGAAACAATGTTCAGCATCAGTTAAGCCCAGCACTGCTGACTTTCAGGGATTAAGCACACTGTTGTAGTAATTCTTTGATCAGCTACAAGGGAGCAGTGTGCCGTCTGTATGAAGGGTCTTTATAGTTAAAGTTCATTTCTCCGTGAACCTGGGATGACAGTCTTGTGCTAGGTGCTGCAGTGCCGGGAGCTGGGGCCTCCCCAAGCGCTATCTGCAGCACTGCGGGCGGAAGCTGGAAGCAAGCTTGCTCCTGGCTTTGTTGTGTGGTTTATATGGTGCTCTTTGAGTATGGCATGGTGGAAAAAATCCTCTTGGCTTAGAAAACACTTCACCTTAACCCTCCCCAGCTTTCCCATTCCGTACACATGTGGGCACATGTGCATATGTGTATGTGTATGTGCACACACACACACACACACGCTACTCTCCTGCCTTGCAGAGGAAGCCTCTCAGGAGCAGACAACGCCTGAACCGAGGCTCTGCAGTCCCCAGCCTTGGAAATGACCTCGCAGAGGCTGTATGCCCGCTCAGGGGAGAGGTCAGAATGGAACCTTCTGGGACCTGATGACCTGCGAGGTGAAAGTAAGAGGACCTGCTCAAGGTTCAGTTTGAGTCCCTGGCATCCCAGCACCTTTATTCCTTACCCAGCATGTATTGAGAATAGACTTAGATTGGCCCAATCCTATAGTTCTGCAAAATCTCAACATTTGTCTTGTCATCCAAAACACTGGGTCAACTTTGGAGGTTCCCTATAGAGACCTTCCTTGCAGCCACAGCTGGGATGGCACAAGTTTTGCCATCTTGCTTCCCCCTCCTCCCGATTGGCCCTGCAACTTCCAGTTGGATATGGAGCCCCTGTGAGCTGTCGATCCTGCTCGCACCGTGCCATAGATCAACCTATTCCCTCCTGTGCGGTGCTCGGATCTCCCTCATTAGGCCTAAATTTACCTCCATCCTACACAAACATGGCCTTAGCTCATTTTTATTGTTGTAAATTATTTATGAGGGGAATGTTGAATCTTGAAACTGAGGTGTGAGGAAAATTAATCCCATGCTACTTTTATCCTTCTGTACTTTTTTCCCCCTTGCTTGACTTATTGAGCTGTGGCTAGAGAATGAAAAGCTTTGGCATTTTAAAATATAATTAGTGTTGAAACTGCTTTCTCAATTGGATGCCTTTCTGCCTAGTACAATGGAAAACAGACCAGACCCAGGGAGGAAGACCAGTCGTCCCACTCCTGGGAGGTGACCCAGTCACCCACCAGGTTTGATGTGAGCTTCAACTGGGAAGGAGCCTGAGAAAGCTTCTTGAGAGCTGCAAAGCACTGTCCAAATGCTACAGACCTGTCAGTGTGTTTTGTGGGCAGTTTGGACTTTGAGATACAGATGGATGCTGGATGAGGAGCTGTTGATACAACCTGGGGTTGTTGCAACCAGGCCTCAGGATTTGATGTGAGAGGGCCCGCATGAATGGCCTCCTGGAGTCCTCAGCCGCGGGGCCATCCTTCCTGGCTTGAGGCTCCGCGCGGCCTGGGAAACGTGGAGCACTAGTTAATAAATGGCCTTTTGTTAGGAAGGTCAATTGAAGTGCCGGTAGAGACGCCGTTAAGAGTAATTTGCAGTCAGAAAATATGTAATTCAGGGCAAGCGGCTTTGAGTGATGGCCCCTGCCATGGATATCTTGGGCGTTTCTCATTAAAAGCTGCCTTGGTTGGTGATGGCGCTTCCTCCATGAGTCGGCCGCAGCGCGCGCGGCCTGGAGCCATTTGTCCATATTTCACAAAGGCCGCCTTCGTCTGTCCGGGGCACAGCAGCTGGGGGCAAGGAAAGAGAACGGCGGGCGTTGGAGATGCTCTGCGAGCAGCTCTGCGGGGCCCTTTGGCAGGCCAGGCCCAGCTCCTTTGTCTGCCTCAGCCGGGGGCCGTCTGCAGCCATCTTTGAACCTTCTCCTCGGCCGCCGCAGGGCATTGTGGGAGCAGCATGGCTTCTTCCAAGGCCTGGTGACCCTCCCTCCTGCTGTTGAGAGCGGGCTCCAGGCAGAGGGCCATTGTCATCATTGTACCGGGAGGTACGATGTGACCAGGGGGTGTGGCAATGAATCCACCAGCAAATAAGATATTGCTTATTCATGCTTAACCCCACTTCCCTCTCTCTTCTCCTTTTTCTTTGTCCCTTTCTTTTCTCTCTATGATAGTAGAGTCCATACTATCTTAAAAAAAAAAAAAAAGAAAAAGAAAACTTACCTCACATGTTCTTTATTAAATTCACAGCGTGATATTTTAGCACTGGCAGAATTCGTACATTCTGTTAATGAGTTGTTAATTGCAAAGCATTCTTGGTAACCAACAGCAGGTACCAATATTTTGCAAACTGCAGCAATGTTATTTTCATGGTACCAATACTACGGGATTTTTCAAGTGCTGAGCCCTTTTGATCAGTGCCTGCTCTGGATCTCCAGGTGCAGATATTTAATTCTAAACCTTTACTGGGGACATGCCTGTGTATTCACTCAATAAATATTTACTTAATGCCTACTGTGTGCAGGAAGCACTAAGCCCTGTGTTTTATGCAGATAAACCTGCCTGGTAAATGAAACTTGAAAGTAGAAAATGATGCAGTGATGCAGTGTGATACCCCCTGCCCTGGCCGTTTAGAAGCTTATTTTCAGAAGAATTAGGTAAAGCATAACTTTGTTAAGCTTTTGTTGTAAACAGAAGAGGAGACTGCAGCTGTGCCAGGCACTTCCTAGCCTTGATCGAGGACTCAGCTCCATTGCACTGACAAGTCTGTTTCCAGAGCTTTTTGTGGGTTCCACAGACTTCATGGGAGACTTGCATACGGCATTTTGATTGTTCCTATTTAGGAGGCTGCAGTCATTTTTAATGGCCTCTGCCTTTTCTAATTCTAGGCTAGAAGCAAGAAGATTCTTCCTGCCTGCTTAGTGAGGTAGGGTGTTTGGTTTGTGTTAGAAGCAGTAACCAGCCTTGAGAGATCTGGCAGACCTACAGCCAGTGGCGTTTAATTGCTGCAGAAAGAGGTGGAATTTGACTTGCTCTTTTTCAGTGCTTGTCCTTTTAAAAGTACTTAGGTTCATTTACATATGGTGGTGTCTCTCTTATTTGCTTTCTGGTGCACTGCCACTCCAGCTGCCCAGACCCAGTGCTCTCTATATTCTACCTGTCTCCTCTGGTCACATCAAGAGGCAGTCAGCAGCAGAATAATAATTCCATTTTCCCTCCCTTTCTCTCAAAGTGCCCAGCAAGAATTATGATCATTGTTACTATTCGGCTTTGAGTAAGTGCCCACATGACCCGAGGGTAAAACACAACAAAGGGATCTGCCAGTCCCCTAGGGAGTGACGCCTATCACATTTCTGACCAGTTACCTGGACTTGTATGTCCCACACCCCACCAGCCTTATGTGCTTTTTTGAGCGCCTACTGTGTACCAGGGACCTCTCCAGACCTTTCATTTACATCTACTCTCTTTGACTCTCTTGGTGCTCACAGGAGCTCTGCGAGGGTCAGTATCATGACCTCGTTTTATAGCTGAGAAAATGAAGGGTCCATGAGGTTAAATTACTTACTCAAAGTCACCAGCTAGTCAGTCATGGAGCCGGGAGTCCAACACCATTCCTTCACCCAAGCCAAGAACACTTATTTCTATGTTTACAACATTCTTTGCTTCTTTGCAAAGCTCTGCCTGCTGAAGGCCTAACCTTGGCTGTGGGTTTGGAAGTCTAGGCCTCCGTAGGCGAGATTGCAAGGGAGAGAGAGGAAAGGTGTTGTTAGGCTTAGCCATGTCTGACGTGTCTTCAGAGCAGCTGCTGGTATCTGTTCAGAAATCAAGCAGCTGGATGGCGGAGTTAAGAATGACGTGCTCTTGGGTTTGAGTCAAACTTACCTCCTGAGAGTAGAGACAAGCTCTCGTGTTAGCTCAGTGTTCAAAGCTGGAGAAGAGTGGGGACCAGAGGTGATTTGAATTCTTGACCTAGGGAAAGGGTCACATAGGGTCAGGACTCATTCAACTAGTTCAGGTATGTGAACCTCAGGGTATTTGCCCCAAGATTCTGGTTCTGTCTGTTTGAGACTTTATATTATTCACATAAATGCTATGTTTGAATTTTATGCTTTCTTTTTCCTTTGCTGAACCAGGACCAGTCCACCATGCCTGAAGTCAAAGACCTCTCAGAAGCCTTGCCAGAAACGTCAATGGATCCCATCACAGGAGTCGGGGTGGTGGCTTCTCGGAACCGAGCCCCGACAGGCTATGACGTAGTAAGTCAAGATACTAGTTTGTACATTTTGCTCACTGATTCTACAAGTATTTATCTCCTGTGTCCAAGACCCTCTGACCCTTGCGTGTTAAGATGTGCTTCTTCCCTCTAGGAACTTAACCAAGGGAGGGTCTGGAGAGCATCCTGGTTTGGGAGTTAGAAGACCTGAGCCCATCTGGGCCATTTCCTGGCCTTGACCACCTCTATGATGGTCATTTTCACCTTCTGTAAAATTAAGGAGTTAGATTCATTGATTTTCAACTTCTGGTGGTGACATTTCATGAAAAGGATCCAGAGTCTATGAACGACTCCTGGTGGTTGTCATGTATTGTCGTGCATGTGTAAATATTGTAAAGGCATTGTCCTACATCTGTGTAGCCCTTTACAGCTTAAAATGTTTCCTACCTGTGAACTCATTTAACTCTCATGGGCTTTTGGAAGGCTGGGAGGGCAAGTAGCTGTATCGCCTCTTTGCTGATTAGGAGAACCCAAGCTCTGAGAAGTGAAGTAACAGAGTCCCAGTCTTTGGATATGGTGAATCATCAGGACCAGACTCCCTCCAAGTCCAGCGCTGTGGCTGACCATGCCACCACAATTTAGTGGAGAACTTTCCTTGCTTTAAAGCAGACATCTGTGCAGGCGTTCAGTAGTCCTGATGATTGGAACTGGTTATTTTGTTGTTTCCGTAGGTAAATTCTGCTTCAGTTGTAAAATTCTGATTACAAAGTACAGAGGAACATTACGGGGGTTTAATTAACATGGATATTATCCTGTGTTCTGAGATTCTAAGGTGGTCTTAGGTTTACTTTCCTCACTTTGTGACGTTTTGTGCTTATTCGCTGAAAATGGGCACCAAGAATACATAAGAGTGAAAGAACACGAATCTCATTAGCCAACACTGAAAACCTCCCACAGCAATTAGAATAGTGTCGGATGTCCTGCAGTGACGAGGATGCGATGCCTGGCCCAGCAGAAGATACCCCAAGGCAGCGTTTCGCAACTTCGGCACTGTTGACGTTTCGGGCAAGACAATCAGATAATTCTTTGTGCTATCCTGTGCTTCATAGGATGTTAAGCAGCATTCCTGGCCTCTCCTTAGTGAATACCAGTAGCACCTGTCCCTCCTCCCCTAGTGGTGACAACCCAGAATGTCTCCAGACATAGCCAGATGTCTCCAGGAGCAGGGGGTGGCTGGGCAGAATCAGCCCCCTTTGAGAACTGCAGTGGTCAAGGCAGATCTGTACTGGGTCAGCCAGTGCTGGGTCCTGGGTAAGGAAGAAGGAGCCTGTCCAAATGCTACACATCCCTTTTCCAACTGTTTGAAAGCTCATAAACATTTTAAAAGTGAAAAAGTGAAGGAATCTTTTTCTGACAAACATTTGAGTCTTTCCTGCCGCTTGACTTCAAAGCACGATTTGAATGTATAGCTTTCCATAAAATAGAATCATTAGGTATGGCTTTGTGCCACGAAACTCTGGGGGAAGCTAATAAAAATGTTCCTGATTTGAGAAGCCAAAGTGTCTTTTGATGAATTAGGGATGAAGCAGCAAGTCATGAATCAAGGCAGGGACTGGGAGTTCCCACTGTGGGAGAGGACGGGCTCAGGGGTCACTCTCCTAGGAGGGCTTACAGGGAGCTTGAGCCCAGGGCAGGGGTCTCCCCATCTTCCCATGCCCTCTTTTGTTGATCTGTATCTTTAGCATTCCGTTTGTACCTTTAGGGTCATCCTGCTTGCTTGGCTAGTGGGTGGCAGATGGCCTTTGATAGTTTGGTTTTCTGGAAGTCTTGGTAAGTCTGACAGGAGCAGAATCTATCCCTATCATTTTCTCCTAACATCGAGCTCAGGGCAGAAGAGCGCAGTGTCAAATGAGTAAAATTAATAAGCACATTTCATGATTGTGCTGTGCCGTGCATTTTAGTGGGAGGTGAGCAGGGCAAGGGGCTTGAGCTCATCCGCCCGGTAATTACCCAGCTCTGCACGGCCGAGGTAGAGACTGCTCCGGCTCCCTCTGAAAGCCCTAACAGGGAGAGAGGTGGGAGTCCCCTCTTGGTGCTGGCCTCTGGACTGTGTGCAGACAAGCGTCTCGTTCCCCAGAGGTCTGGCCCCAAGTTCAAGGAAGGCGGGGAGGGCATGGTGAGAAGAGAGACTTCTCATTCCTTTTATCTGGAGTTTCATATTAAGTCAACATCCAAACCAAAGTGCACGGCGCTCTGTGGTGGCTAGGCTGCAGAAATGCTCAGACAGAACTCCAGCAGATGAGGAAGCCCTGCTGCGGATTGGGCCGAGACCTCTCTCTGTCTGGTGTAGCTGCTGTAGGATTAATTTCTCCCTGCACACAGAGCCCGTTGAGTACTGCCACCACGCAGCCCTGCGAGTTAGGCACCAGATGGACTGGTGACCCTGAGTAGCACAACTGCTTTAAAATGAGCTTAGGTCCCATTGCTGCTCGAGGTAAAAGGTGCCAAATGTTCATTTATAAAAATTTAATTCAATAACTTCCCTTCTCTCTGGGTCAGGGGAGCCTTCTTAGGCTAGGGGGCTGGAGATTATATGCTAAACTTCTCAATTTATTGTTCCGATGTCTGCAGTCCTCTCTGAAAGAGCCTCCCTTTTCTGTTCTGCACCCACACTATCTGGGAGTGACTGGTGCTTCTCTCCCCTTGCAGTCAGAGTTGGGGTGAGGCTCGTGCGTCTTTGTGATGCCACGTGCCCGGAGTAGTGACTATATGTCATAGATGACTAGTGTTTGCCAAAGATAGTGCATGCGATTTTATCCTGTGTGGATGGTCAGTTTTCACAGAATTGTAATGCTATAAGAAGCACTTCCTGCTACAATTCCTGTGTGCGGAATGTAACCTTTGATTTACAAGCCACTCTGGGATGTTGCAGTGTCTGCAGGGCATCAAGCTGGACATTACTGAGAATCATTGTTGGGTGTGTTTCCAGCGATATACATTTTACCTTTCACCGACATTCCTTTGCCTTTCTAAGTAAATGCTTATGACCAGGCGTGGTAGCTCATGCCTGTAATCTCTGCACTTTGGGAGGCCAAGGTGGGCAGATCACTTGAGGTCAGGAGTTGAAGATCAGCCTGGCGAACATGGTGAAACCCCATCTCTACTAAAAATACAAAAAAATTAGCTGGGTGTGGTGGTACGTGCCTGTAATCCCAGCTACTCATGAGACTGAGGCAGGACAGTGGATTGAACCCAGAAGGCGGAGGTTGCAGTGAGCCAAGATTGAGCCACTTTGCTCCAGCCTGGGCAATAGAGTGAGACTCTGTCTCTGAATAAATAAATAAATGAATAAATAAATTCCTACAACTCAGACTGAAACTGCAACACTATATTTATGAGATGACTCTTTTTCCATAAAAAACATGTCTTCCTTTCCTTGAAAATGTACTTTTCTTGGTTAAAAAAAAAAAAAAAAAGTTAGCAACACAGAGAAAGTGAGACGAATCAAACACTCCAGAACATTTTAATTTTACATTGTTTATCTGTCCACCCCATTTTTTGAGTACCTACTATGTGCCAGCTAGGAGCTGGGGAAACAGCGATGAGCAAAACACACACAGCTCTGCCTTCATGAAGCACACAGTCTGGAGAGGAAGACAGGCAATGATGGTTGCAAATAAATAAAAGATGAAACTGGGGGTAAGTGCTTTGAAGGAAAATCTTATAGATGATTTATCTTTCAGATCTAGCTTTCCAGATAATTCTGACAGCATGAACCCCTTGCATCCTACTTCTAAAAATCACGGATCATTCCTTTCTTTCCATACCTGGAAGCCTGCTAGGTGTTGGAGCCTTTCCCAGGAGACCACCTCGAAGGTGCTCACCATTCTTCAGTGCCAGCTTTCTCACCTGCCACCACATGGCTCCTTTTTTGTTGGTGACATCTGTGAGGTTGTCCCATGGCTGAGTTCAGCTCCCTGCCCACCTGGCAGCTGCTGCTCTGGCCTTTCTGGCCTGTGCAGGGGTTGGACGCCGCTCTCCCTGCGTCTCCCCCTCCTCTGTGACCCTCCATGGTGTCTTAGTCCATTTGTGCTGCTATAACACAATCCCTAAGACTGAGTAGTTTATAAAGAGCAGGATTTATTTCTTACAGGTCTGGAGGCTGGGAAATCTAAGGTGAAGGGCCTGCATCTGGCAAGGGCCTCAATGCTGCATCATCCCATGGTGGAAGGTGGAGGGACAAGAAAGGGAGAGTGAGCAGGAGGGGACCACACACATCCTTTAATCAGGAACCCACTCCAGGGATAAGGCTGTTGAGGACAGAACCCTCAGGACCTAATCACTTCTTACAGGTCCCGTCTCTCAACACTGTTGCATGGGGGATAAAGTCTCTAGCACGTGAACACTACGGGCACATTGAAAGCGCAGCACATGACTTCCCATAGAACAGCTGAGACCAAACTTACTTTTAATGAGAACTTTCTGGGACTTTGGGGGATAATGGGAGTGAGATATTAAAACTCAGAGGATCTTGACAGCTGTGGTGGGGGTCCAGGTCCATGCTCAGACCTCTTCCTAGCCAGCCCTCTGTCTTGCTGTTGGCTGACTTCATCTTGCCTACCTCAGAAAAGCGTTGTGAGCTGCCAGGCTAAACTGCGTCCTGGTCTCAGAGAGACTAGGAGATATTTTATTCTTTTTCCTCACGCCAATTTAAGACCTCCTCCATTCTCTTCTTGAGAAATCCCACCCAACACACGGGAGTCTTTCTGGCAAAGTAACCCTGAAGTGACAGATCAACCTCAGGCTCTGTGACTCTTTTGGAAAGTCCAGGTAAGGGATTCCCAAGCTTTAGTGGGCCTCAGTCCCCAGGAGGGCCCCGTATCAGAGTTCCTGCCTGAAGATGCTTTCCACCCTCGGGCATATCTAGAAGAGCAAAGGCCTGATGATAATAAGCATAGGTTTCAGTGGCAGGGAAGGAGCCACTCCCCAGGAGGTCTCTCTGATAACCACATATAGGATAAAAATCCAAATTATTTGATTTGG